ATATATATATATATATATATATATATATATATATATATATGTAGGTCTAGAGGTATGTTCCGGGACTGTTTACGTTTTTTGAAATGTACAGTCCTGGAATATAACACATATATATGTAATCAGATTCAAAAAACTGTCCCGAAACGTGCCGTAGGAAATGAATTTTTTCCAGGACAGTCCTGGAAACTGCCAAATGTCCTGGAATATACCGATGTAAAAAATAAAAGTCCCGGAACATACTTCCGGACCTACATATTATATACATACATATATATATATATATATATATATATATATATATATATTGCAATTATTCTCTTATTTCATAAACCAAGTTCTGCAGAATCCCTTTTTCTATTAAAAAAATGTATTTAAATTTATAGGAAATGATCGATACACTTCGCATGGAGTTAGATTTCGAAAACGAAGGAAAAAATGGAGAGCAATGTGCCAAAGACTTAAAAAGATTTGAGTATGCATATATACCAAAAATTTATTGGGATCTTAGTAGTAAGGTTGTTTTTTTAAACTTTATTGACAAATATATTTATTGAGTGGAATTCACAGTCGATTATTATATTTACATAGTTAGAAAATTTGTGTTAAATATAACGTAAATCACATGTCCCAAACGGTCAACTCAAAGTTTTGTGTTAATTTAACATAATATGGATGTGTTAAATGGTAACACCGATCATATGTTAATATTTCAACACGGAAAAGAAAAGTAATTTTGATCGTAATTTGAAGTTAATTATGTGTACAATTAACATAACTTTTATGTTGAATCTTATATTGAATTATCCCCATTTCTGTTACAGAGTAAAATCAACACTATTTTTCTGGAAATTTTAACACATTTAATAAATACGTTCAAATTGTGTTACTTTAATATATTTTTTAAATTATTTTAATAATTTTACATTTTATATTTGTTAAGTTCACATAACATAGAAGACATATGTTAAATTATATTTGCTCGCCATTAGAATTCATCAATCTTCGGATTACAAATCGAATCATAGATTTTTTAGAAGAAATTTTTTAAATAAAATTAAAGTTTATCAAAAATAGTAAATATTGTATGATTCTTGAAAAAAAATTCCTGCCTATGCCTAAAATAAAAGGCTCTTAAATTGTTTTTTTCAATTATAATTTAATTATTATATTAACTTGACTATTTACTAATGTAATTTCCAAGTCATATGTATATCAGTTTTATTATTGCTTCGTTTTGACAAATTTTTTTGTCAATTATTACAACTGGTACACAAGAGCTCATTTCATTAATTTTTTATTAATAAATCTATAGAAATATCTATAAATGTGAGTGTAGTCAAGCACAATTTTAACTTTGTATACTAAACATTTTATTAACTTTTTAATTAGTTTTTTATTAGTTAAAGTAAATGACTTGGGCAATAAAGAATTAGAAGCAAAATATCATCATCTCAGACTGTGGATTAAGCTCATATTCAATCAAATAAATGTCATCTTTCCGTTTGTAATGATAATTTATATACTTAGAGGATTCTCACGACGGAATGGATCGATGGTGTTAAAGTGACTGATGTGGAAGGAATTAAGGCTCAAGGATTAGATCTCAAGGATGTCGACAATAAATTGATTACACTAATGGGGGAACAAATATTTCATACAGGATTTGTACATGCTGATCCACATCCTGGAAATGGTGTATTATTTTCTTCCATCAAACAATATATTTAAAAAATAATATTAGTTTGGATGCGTGCAACGCATACATTATTTTCCGGCGGGCGCGCCCTTTTTCATAACGGGAGCGCGCAGGCGCACCGTGCACAAAGTATACCGTAGAATGAGATAGAAAATTTGAAAGGATATAAAGGATATTCATCATATCTAAAAAAAAAAGCATGTATATCGCGTAAAATAAACATTATGCGAAATGAATTTTATGAGAAAGTTACGATATTTTAGAGCTTATTAGACACTGAAGGAATATAGCTCGAGAAGCCGAAACTCAAATTGGAAGTTTCCATGAATTCCCTTTCTAATTCGCCACGCGTGTTAATACAAAGTACACAGGCGCGCCTGCCGGAAGATTAAAACTCCTGGTTTATCACTTTTGAAAATGTTGTAATTCAATATGCCTGTAGTGAGATGCTAGGAGTCTTATAATAATTAAAAATCTGATGTAATACTAACAATTTTGACTGGTGCACAGTTTTTGTAAGGAAGGGGAAAGACAAAAAAGCACAAATAGTACTATTAGATCATGGTTTGTACGAACATGTGTCGGAAGAGACAAGACAAACTTTATGCAATTTTTGGGAATCCATGGTCTTGAGGAATGATAGTTCCTTGAAAACTTTTGCTCAGGATTTGAACGTGGAAGGTAAGTGTATATTATACATATTTTGTTAGCAGGTAAGCGCGGGAGGGCAATCGAACGTACACGTCGAGTAACTGCTATGCACACGTTTTATTATATCTCGTATCCAAAAGGATGCGTACAGCACGAATGCCAGACAGACAGTGAGTGAATAAGAATAGATAGTAGTGGCGCCTCTAGGGTGAAAGCCCCTTGGTGAACTGTGAGTGGCGCCTCTGTAGGACCACGGATAGCCAATGGTAATCGGGCATGCGGATTACCGACACTTCCCCTCGAGACGTGGTTGGAATAGACATTTAGAACGATCCCAAGCCCATAAGGTCTAGACATCGCCAGTGCTTGGGCCTCGGTAGTCCCTTAGTCATCACATCAGCCATCATGTCGTCCGTAGATATGTAATCGACCTGAAACCAATTCTCACGAATAGCATCACGGATAAAATGATGCTTCAAGTCGATGTGTTTGCTCCTGGCGTGGAAGGTGGGATCCTCAGCCAATTTGAGAGCACCCATATTGTCATTGAAGACCTTGACCGATGCAAGTTCCTCAAATCCTAACTGAGTTAGGAATTCGCATAGATATATGGCTTCCTTGGCGGCTTCAGTCATCCCCATATAATCGGCTTCCGTCGAGGACAGGGCAACCGTCCTCTGCTTCTTCGAATCCCAAGAGATGATTCCGCTGCTCAAGGTAAAAGCGTAGCCACTGTATGATCGCCGATCCATCGGGCAACCAGCCCAATCGGCATCCACGTAGCCCGTCAACGGTTCGTCTGAAGGTTCGTAGATGAGTCCAATGTCAGCAGTCCCCTTAAGGTAACGTAGGACACGCTTTGCGGCTGTCCAATGGCACTGTCCGTAGTCATTGTTGAATTGACTCAACAAGCTCACTGCGTAGGCTATGTCCGGTCTAGAAGTAACGGCTAGGTACATCAGCGCACCGACAAGTTCGCGGTAGGGAACCTTCTTCTCGTCTTCACTAGGTACCTCAGTCAGTCTTGACAGCCTCGTATTGACATCCATGGGAGTGTCCACCGGCCTGCAATCGTTCATGCCAAATCGCTCCAGGATATCGGCAATGTATCCTTTTTGATGTAAGCCGATTCTATTTCCGTGTCGTGTGGACTCGATACCGAGACAATATTTCGGTTCACCGAGATCTTTGATCTCGAATTCTCCAGTAAGATAATTCTTCATCTTTTCAATCTTGTTCGGGTCGCGACACGCCATCAAGATATCGTCCACGTAGATGCCAATAAGAAGAGAGTCTTCCCCTTTTCCAACATGATATATGCACAGGTCTGACCTTGAAGCAACGGCTCCATACCTGCGTAAAGTGTAGTCCAGCTTGTCGTACCAGTTCCTGCCGGCTTGGCGCAGTCCATACAACGACTTCTTTAAAAGACAAACGCGGTCTCCTTTTCTCAAGTCTTTCAGCATAGCTGCGGCCCTAGATCTGATGTCCTCGCTATAGCCCTCGGACCGAATAATAATCTCAAGAGACTTTACCAGTCCTTGTGGCGGTTCCATGAGCACTTCCTCTTCGATTAAACCATTTAAATAGGCGGTGGTAACGTCGAGCTGCCTCATGGTCATTCTATATTTGGAAGCGAGAGCTACCAAAAGGCGAATCGAGCCAAGACGTGCCACGGGGGCAAAAGTTTGATTGAAGTGAACCCCGGGACGTTGAGCAAACCCTTGGGCTACAATTCGCGCTTTTCTTCTTTACAGCGTTCCGTCAGAATTATACTTGTTGCAAAGAACCATCCGGCTGCCAATAACTTTTTGGTCGTCTGGACGCTTGACAAGTTTCCATGTATTATTTTTCAAGATCGACGCAACTTCATTTGCCATAGCTCGATACCGTTCGTTGGCTTCGGGACCTGAAGTGGCTTTCTCGATGGGTACTTCAGTGATATGAGCAAATTCAACTTCTGCAATATTCGCCGCTTTACTTGGTACAGAGAATAACTTTTTAGGTCGGCCTCTCAATCCAGTACGTAATATTCTAGGCCTGCCTGGTCCTCTCTTCGGTGTTTCCTCCGCATCTGCGTTGCCATCAGGAGCATCATGAGCGTCATCTTCCGGCGGTACATCTCGATAGTATCCAATAGGCTTTATCTCGATTTCGGTTACTTCATTAGTGGTACCAGGGGTATCCGAATCTTCCTCTCGTTGAACTAAGACATCTTCCGGAGTGAAATCTTCATAGTCGACAGATGAGTCTTCGCAATTCCGCAAGAATTTCACATCTCTGGTAACCTCGATCTTCTTTTCCTCGGGTAACCATATACGATATCCCTTTGAGTTTTTAGCGTATCCAAGAAAGATCCCCTTTCCAGCTCGGTCCTCGAACTTCCCCTTGCCAGGAACCCGACAATACACGTTACTGCCGAATTCTCTGAGGTAACTTACGTCAGGCGTACTTCCGGTCTAGAATTCGAATGGAGTTCGACCCTTGAGAGATCTAGTAGGACATCGGTTTCTGATATAGTTGGCCGTAGACACGGCTTCAGCCCAAAATGATGGGAGAAGGCCGGATTGTATGAGTAGACAGCGAGCCATCTCCAGAAGTGTCCGGTTCTTCCTCTCGGCTGTGCCGTTCTGCTCCGGATTGTATGCAATCGAGAGTCTTCGCTGAATTCCGGCCTCTGTCAAGAAATTCTCGAACTCCTTGCTCAGATACTCTCTCCCATTGTCGGATTATAGTAGCTTGATCCTTTTTCCGGTCTGGTTTTCGAACATCGCCTTAACCTCCTTGAATGCGCCGTAGACGTCGCTCTTGTTTCGGAGAAATCGTACCTTACACCATCTCGAACGGTCGTCGATGAATGTGACGAAGTACTTTGCACCACTCTTGGATTCCACCCGCATCGGACCACAGACGTCGGTGTGTACTATCTCCAAAAGCTCTTTCGTACGGGTCTCCATCGTCACTGGGAATGGCGCCCGAGTCATCTTCCCTCGAAGACATATTTCGCATTCCAGCTTCTCTTCGCATTTACAAAGGCTCAGTCCTCGAATTGCCGCGTAGCGTTCTGCGTTCATCAAGTCCGTTACGTTCAAGTGACCTAGTCGGCGATGCCACTTTTTCAGAATCGTCGAAGCATCCGCATCTTCAGATATTCTGCTGCACTCTGCGCCTTCGCGACTCGATAAGAAATATAAGTTCCCGACTCTATTCGCGCGCAATATTACGTTACCGTCGCGATCGACCACTACGGCGTGATCCTTTTTAAAATTCACTTCAAGATTTCTGTCCGTTATCTTAGCTACCGACAGTAAATTTTCGCGGAGATCGGGCACGTGAAGTACGTTGCTTAGATTCACATTTCTCTTATTTCCTTCGATATCGGCCGTAAGCGAGACCGTTCCCACTGCGGTAATTTCCGTCGAGACATGATTCGCTAATTTTAATTTACCGCGTTTCGAGTCGTCAACTCTCGCGAATTCGCGTAATTGTCCACATAAATGTGACGTTGCCCCGCTATCGAGACACCATTTCGCGCCGCGCACATTTACTTCCGCGCTAAATACTTCCTGCGCATCCGAGGATTCTTCTACGGCACACAGAAGCACGTCATCGGTATTCTTCGCCGACGGTTGCGAGTCTTCGGGCTTCTTGTTTTTGCAGTCAACGGCTTTGTGTCCCTTTTCTTTACATCGATGATACCGATACTTGAACTCTTCTTTATTTCCCGATTTCGATTTTTTCCATTTGTCCTTATTCGTATTTCTTCCTTTCTTTACCATCAACGCGTTCTGAACGGTACCGCGCACGTCATTTTTCCGAGCGTCGTTTTCTTCTACTATTTTTATTTGAAGCACTTCCGGTGACGGTAATTCGTCGCGTGATTCGATGGCGCATCGAAAGTTCTCGAACGAGGGCGGCAAGCTATATAGCAGAGCATGATCGCGAGCAATTCCGGGTTGATATCGATGTTCATCTCAGCCAGTTTATCGACGGTATCGTGGAATTTTCGGACATGTTCCCGCACGTCGTCGCCTTCTTCCATACGTTGAAGCGTGAGCTGTTTTAGTAGCGTGGCCTTCCGAGCCGGCCGATTGATACGTGCTTTCCAGCTTTAGCCATACTTCACGAGACGTCGTACATCCTTTGATAATCTTCAATTCGGATGGCTTTATCGATAGTATTATATCTGATTTTGCCTTCTCGTCGTTTCTCGTCCAAACCTTAACTGCCTCTACCAATGTCGCGTTACCGGCTTCCAGCGTTGGTTTTACGCACTCGCCACTCAGGTATTCTCACGCATGAGTTTTTCATGAGCACCGCTTGCATTTGCAATTTCCAAGTGTCATAGTTGTCTCTTCGGAGAGTCTCGATTCGTGTAAAACTTGACGCGTTCATTTTTGCAATTCACACCGCGACGTACGATGTTCGTTCCCGAGATACACTTTTCCGTGGCGCACTTATTAACCTCACGACGTTTCGCGTTCTTTCGATGCCTATTCCGTTTCTGGGCAATTTCGTCCTGGGCCCATAACCTGTTAGCAGATAAGCGCGGGAGGGCAATCGAACGTACACGTCGAGTAACTGCTATGCACACGTTTTATTATATCTCGTATCCAAAAGGATGCGTACAGCATGAATGCCAGACAGACAGTGAGTGAATAAGAATAGATAGTAGTGGCGCCTCTAGGGTGAAAGCCCCTTGATGAACTGTGAGTGGAGCCTCTGTAGGACCACGGATCGCCAATGGTAATTGGGCATGCGGATTACCGACATATTTTTTATCACGTGAAGAAACTATTATATGAAACAGTAATACCAAGAAGTTAAAAATATTATAGCTTAGAATAGTTAGAAATATTATAGGAGCAGTTTGCTATACAGTAATAGTTTTAAAAACATCAAAATATTAAAATAAAAAACAAAATAGTTTAAAGTAAAAAATATGAAGATCTTGATGAGAAATATATTATGATCTTATTGTTTAAATTTATTTTTTCCAAGAAAAATAACGATTAAAAAGTTGCACTAACTATATAAATAAAATTAATTTAGACAGTAATATGCAATTTACGGTCCAAGCTTACATTAGATCTTTGGTTGCCTAATATTAATATGTGTATATATATTTTCCAACTTATTAAACTGCGCGCCAATTTTTTGTCGGACTTGAAACACAGTTATTGTTGGAGCA